TTCTTATTCACGGAGCCTTACCTATAGAATTGCACGAGTTCGTCATAACTAGAATATTATTGGTTTCTGTCATATCATTCATGCCTAAAGACAAGCTCGATTTTAAGTTGCAGAAAGAGGGACTGTAATCTATCCTGGCCACTTTTGTATTGAACTTGGTGTCAAATAGAACGACTTGACCTTGTCCATTTGAATTCATATTTTCTTATGAATACTGTATTTGAAGAGTACCTATTATATGCTATTCGAATTTACCCTTAGCTTTTTTTTCACTGTTTATCATACAGCAAATCCTGTAACTTAGTTCATAAAAGCCTTGGTATCGTTGAGACTATCAAGTTCTATGGCAATGAATTGTATAGTTTTGATAGAACCAAGTTGTCACCAATCTGTTTCATCAAGGATCGATTTGATAGTGGGACATATATAATGTCGCAGCTAACTACAGAATCATAAACATATGAGATAATTCAACTGTATTGGAAGGAACTGTATGCTCAGCAACTTTAGAGATCATTCCCATTTTAAGTAGAAGAACGCAAACATTCGGTTTGATGTTGTTTGAAAGATTTGAATCCACACGACAACTTGAGAAGATTGACGAAGAAGCACTTTGATCCTAACCTTTGATTGTTAGTACTTCAAGTCATGCTGAGACATATGGTTATGTCCGTTTACTTCCTTTGGTGAAAAAAGTTGTCCCTTACCTTTGTTATATTAAGCTATTACAAAATCAAGTTGATAACCTGGTACAGCTTTTACTAGTACAGGGTGCCTTTCACAGCAGACTCTTTGTTATCTTTATGGATGAAGAATTGAGTTTGGTTTGTGTTGATTCATTGACTGATTGATTGATTGTTTTGTGTCATACTAGCCTATTTACTTATCAAGTGACAAATAATCGCACTCGGATTTGTAAAATTGACTGATTCCAGTATTTGAGGAATAGTAGTTGGTCAATTCTATTGAAAAAGGTGATCTAAGAATTCACTTTAGACAGATTGTTGTTTTGCGAGTCAAAGACAAGTTGTACCATAGAAAAAGATTTATACAAGGTACGTGATATAGATAGGAGTAGTTTCATTGTTCATTCTCCAGTTGAATACGGACTGGATTGGATAGTGCTAATAGAATAAAATGGGTTGTTTGAGCCACACTGGGTTTTTTGTCTATTATGAGTTCTTTAGCTCATCAAGATATTTTATCGTGGCACTATAAAACTCTCTGTCCCATAAGAAGAGTCGTTATACCCTAGACTTTGGGTCATATAGTATTTATATATCCTCAATAGTCTATTTAATACAGATTGCTTCACGATTGTAAGAATTTATTGGAAGAATTTACCTAAGTAGAGTTGGCAGACGAAATACCAACGAGTACTAGTATTCTTTCATCTAAATACACAGAGGACAATCTAGTTGATAGTTTTCTTGACAAGAATCATTACTAGAGAAAATCCCCACATTCTTTCCTGGTAGTTGTAAATTACTTTCTAATTCTGAACAGATCGTTGACCGAACGTCGTTTGAATCCATTGTTTCCAGAATTGACCCAATGTTGAATCATATTGGTATACTGTAAAATGAAGATTTTGTTGTTTCTATTGGGTCTGATTCTGCATAGTATGTTGAGCACCAATATACACACTTTTTACTGATTTTTTCTGCTAATGGGAAAGATGGGCAATTTGGAAAGAGTGGCCAATTAGGAATGGGCCCGCGCAATTTTGATTTGAAAATTGCCATTATGGGTGTGGGGTGGGAAAGAATGGGTAAATTGGAAATGGGAGAGAGTGGGGAAATTGCCAAGGGGAAAATGGGTGGGGAAAGGGGCCAATTTGGGCCAACCCCAAAGGTGATCGTGTTTTGGAAATTGCCATTGTGGTGGGCTGGGGAAGAATGGGTAAATTGGAGGAAATGGGAGAGAGTGGGGAAATTGCCAAGGGGGAAAATGGGTGGGGAAAGGGGCCAATTTGGGCCAACCACAAAGGTGATCGTGTTTTGGAAATTGCCATTGTGGCGGGCTGGGAAAGAATGGGTAATTGGAAATGGGTGGGGAAATTGCGATGGGGGAAAATGGGTGGGGAAAGGGGTTTGAGGAAATTGGAGAAGAGGGCCAATCCAAAGGCGATTGTGTTGATTTGAAAATTGCCATTATGGATACAGGGAAGAATGGGTAAATTAGAAATGGGGACATTTGAAATTGAGGACAGTGTGCAAAGAGGACTGAATGTAAATTGAAAATCTTGGGAGAGTCCGTACAGGAAGGGTGTTTGAAAAATTCCAATTCGAAAAACAAAAGATTGAAATTTGAACTACAGTTCTATTTTATGAGATAATAGTAGTAGAAAGTTTAATTACATGCTGTTCACATAATGTTTCCATGCTTTCATGATACATTTTTACTCTAAAATAATCTTCTTATAAAATTTCTAAAGAAAATATAATAACAATTTAATATAATTGATTGAAACAATGAAAGCATTATTAAAAAATTTGATCATTGACTTAATTTTTAACTGTTACAATGAAATGTTCAAAGTAAATATTATATAAACACAAAAAACTCAACAAAACAAAAAAAGAATTAATTTCAAAAAGACTATATTAATACAGTATCCACTAAATTGACAAAAGCGAATAATTTTTAGTTTAATTTCAAAATACTTACTAAAAATATACACAACAAAAATAAAAACGATCAGCAAAATTTGATAGCAACCTTGACAAAAAAATATAAACACGCAATAAACGTAAAGATTGTTCTTCAAAAATTAATAACTTTAACAGTGAATATCAGTCTATCAGAGAAACGAGTGCATAGTCGTGGAATGTATAAAAAAAGTTTTTTACTCAAAGAAATAGACATATCTAAAGTGATTAAGTAAAATGGCGCAAAAAAATAATAAACGAACTTAAAAAAGACAAAGAATTGCATCTGGTAAATTGCCATTTGATGAGAGAATATGTGTGGGTGAATGAAATGGTCGATTGCGGGTAAAGGATGGTAGTGCAACTTTGTTTTAAAAATTGTCATGGAGTGTGTGGATGGGGGGAAAGAAGGGGCCAATTGGAAGTGGAAGAGGGTTGGGAGCAATTGTGAATTGGAAATTGGCATGGGGGAAAATGAGTGGGGGAAGGATTGGGGCCAATTGAGAAGAGAGGGGTCAACTCGAAATGTGGATGGGCAATTGTGATTTTGAAATTGCCATGGGGGAAACTGAGTGGGAGGAAGGATTGGGGGCCAAATTGGAGAGGGGCAACTCGAAATGTAGATGGGCAATTGTGATTTGGAAGTTGCCATGGGGAAGGAATGAGTGGGAGGGGAGGAAGGATTGGCGGGCCAATTGAAAAGACAGGGGGCCAACCCTACAGCGACTTAGATTTTGGGATTTACCATTATGAGTGGTAGGGGAATAATGTGTAAATTGGAAATGGGAAGGGCATTAAAAACTGTCAGGGCAGTGTACGAAAAGACAAAGTAATTTGAATTGAGGAAATTAAGAAAATACAATAAGGGTGTTTGTGAGATATTCAAATTTTAGAAGTAGAAGAGCAAAAGCTGAAATTCAATTATATTTTATGAGATGGAGGTAGTAGTAAGATTGACGACATACTTTTCACGCAATATTTCTATATTTTCATAGTAGAACCTCAGTCAAAAATAATCTTTTTTAAACTTAATAAAACTATGCTAACAAAATACTATAGTTAATTAAAACAATGAAAAAATAAAAATT